TGAAATCTCCAGAACCGTAAAAACTACAAACTTAAAATTTGGCACATATGTTCCTCTTAGCTTCTAGGTGCTCACTAAGAAATGATTTGTCGAAATGACCATCAGATCATTAGTATTTCTTATACAGTATTATATTAACACGCTAAGGAGTTAGACATTCTACTCTCCCTACCCAACTGAAAACTGCCAGTTGCAACTGGGTGCTGGTGGGATTAAAGGGCTTGAGCCTGATCAAATAGTTTCATAGCAAAGCATGGGTATCCAGTGTGTGTGTGTGTGTGTGTGTGTGTGTGTACAATCTATTTACGCAAATGCCTTCTCTGTATCTCTCAAAGGAGCATTTCAATCACAGGGGGTCCCACCTGCAATGGGAACATTTTACAGGCGTAATTTTTATAATACCACAAAAAGAGACCAAAGATATTTCAGGAAGCAAACTTCGAAGGAGCAGGTGCAAATCTTTGCTTCTATAAAAAGCAACCGAGAAATGCAAAACAGAATTCCATTTTTAGTCCGTAGAGAACAGAGTTTCCAAAGATTGGACCTTTCAGGAGAAATGGATTTCGGCTCCCAGAATTCACCAGTCAGCCACGGAAAGAGTGAGAAAGAAACTCAAGAAAACCCCACTTTGATTCTATTTGGTATAAGGGGAGGCGGAAGAATGTTTTGGCAGATTTTCAAGATTTTGTTGTTCTATCCTGTAATACGCAGTGGCGCAGTGGCTAAGATGCTAAGCTTGTCGATCAGAAGGCTGGCAGTTCAGCAGTTCGAATCCCTACTGCTACGTAACAGGGTGAGCTCCTGTTACTTGTCCCAGCTTCTGCCAACCTAGCAGTTCAAAAGCACATAAAAATGCAAATTGAAAAATAGGAACCACCTTTGGTGGGAAGGTTACAGTGTTCTGTGCTCCTTCGGTGTTGAGTCATGCCAGCCACATAACCATGGAAGCATCTTTGGACAGCGCTGGCTCTTCGGCTTTGAAACAGAGATGAGCACCACCTCCTAGAGTCAGGAACGACTAGCCACTCATGTGCGAGGGAAACCTTTATCTTTACCTTATCCTATAAGAATAAAGTAGCATTCTTGTAATCCAGTGGTTTTTAACCTTGGTGGCTTAAAGACGTGTGAATGTCAACCCTCCAGAATTCCCCAGTCAGCTTTTCTGGCTGGGGAATTCTGGGAGTTGAAGTCCACATATCTTAATGTTGCCAAGTTAACAACATTAGAGTTAAACAGCTCTCTCTAATCCACTCAATACAAATAGTCCTTGAATGACAAACACAATTGAGGCCAAACTTTCTGTTGCAATGTAAGGCATTTGTTAAGCGAATTTTGCCTCATTTTATGACCTTTCTGGGCAGTTGTTAATCATTGCAGTTTTTAAGTTAGTATCACAGTTGTTAAGCAAACCTGGCTTCCCCAATGACTTTTTTTGTCAGAAGGTTGCAAAAGGAGATCAGATGACACGAGACACTGCAGCCATCATAAATACAAGCCAGTTGCCAAATATCTGAATTTTGAACTTGTGACCACAGGGATGCTACAAGGTCATTAAAGCCACTTTTTTAATGCCGTTGTAACTTTGAAAGGTCACTAAGTGAACTGTTGTAAATCGAGGATTATCTGTATAGCTGTCACTTCGTAAAGCATTTGCATAACTGTTATCAAGTTGCCAAGGTGAGGAAAGCGGGGGAGGGCATTCCATGCATACATTCGTCTAGAGTCGGATCTCAGATTACTACAGCAGGCTTGGGAGGGGTGCACTTCATTGGGGAATGGGATTTATGACACAGACTGAGGAGAGGGAAGGAACAGGGCAAAGCCGTAATTTAAATTCAGCCGTAATTTAAATGAGGTCACATCTGACTGCAATGGGGTATTGCCTAAATGGTGTTCCTAATAAATCACTGGATTTCTTTCGAAACTTGGCTCCAAGCTCATGAATTAATTAGGGCATCTTTCGGAAACCTGACAATAGCTTTACTAACACATCCTCTCCAGCAGCCTGTAACTATCCTGTTTCCCCGAAAATAGGATCTCTGCAGATAATAAGCCAAATCAGGCTTTTGAGCGCATGCACTAAAATAAACCCTCCCCTGAAAATAAGCCCTCCCTGAAAATATTGCAACACAGCAGTAGCCATGAGGTNGTCAACCCTGAGCCGGTGAGATTTGAACCGCTGAACTGCTGATCTAGCAGTAGCCTGCAGTGCTGCATTTAACCACTGCGCCATCTTGGCTCTTAGTCTATACTTTGCCAATACTTTGCCAATCCCAAAGATGACAAAACTTCAATTTTATTTTCTTGGGTAAGCTTTTTTTATTATTCATATGCCTGAAGACACATCTAATTGCACACTCAGCCATTCTGAAAAATATATTTAGCAGTAAATCATGGCTTTATTACCTCTAGGGCAGTCTACTGCAATGATCTTTACATGGGGCTGTCTTTCACAACTATGCAAAAATTGTAATGGGTATAAAATACAGTTGCTTGCCTGCTTGTGGGGGAGAAATATTGCAGCCAGATGACACCAGCTTGTGGGTGCTGCATTGGCACCCAATAGGTTTTTGAATATTCAAAATGCTAGTTGTAACTTTTTTCCCCCGTTCAATTTTGACCAATTTTCAGAAGCTGCCAGGACCAGTCCTTGCAATTTTGCTAGCAAAGTTTTTCAGAAGCCCTAGAACTGAGAGAGAGTGCAACTGGCCCCCAAATCATCCAGCTGTTGACTTTGTGCCTAAAAGCAGGACTAGAACTCACAGTCTCCCAGATTCTAGCTGGATGCATTAACTACTACACCAAACTGGCTCTCAATTAACTTATATAACCCTTTAAGGATTAACTCCTAGGCCTTTTTTTAGCTCTATCCCATTCAAGTAGAATCAGCCTGTTGATCTAGGATAGAGACGGTCATGATTCCCTCCAAAGGAGAAGTTGCTGAAGGAGATGAAAGAAGCAATTTTTCAAACTGCTCTCCACTTCTGTAGAATAAACTCCCCCACCCCTTGAAACATGGATGGTTCCCTTTCCAATTGCATTTTGGAAAGTTTGGAGATAAGCTTAGAGATAACCTTTCAAGACAGAATTACACTTTTGATCTCTAAAAGGTGTTACCATTACACCTCTGGATTGGTTTTTGGTTTACTCTTGCATTATTATGGGAAGGTGCTGTTGCTGCTGCTGCGGAAGGGAGAGGGTGCTCTCATGTGGCCCAAAGCTCTTGCACAGCTGGCTGGGGAGTGGAAGGCCCACCGAGAAGGAACACAGCACATCTGCAGGGCGCTTGGAGTGTAGGGAGTCAGCCGGTGTGTATTTGGCAGTGGGGCATCCAAAGCAGGTCCTAGCAGGTCCAAACCTGTCAGGGAGAGAAATGTCAGCAGAGCCCAAACTCCCTCACTGAGTAGGGCAGAGCTTCTAGACCTCAGCAACTTTACATTCTGACTGAGGCTTCCCAAGAGCAGGAAGCAAACTCCTTGCCCGACAAAACCCCCTTTTATTCATTGACTGTGAATTCTGCTCATTCACATCCAGCAAAGTCTTTCAAAGGAGGAT